TGAGGGAAAGAAGAAAAGAAAGCAAGAAGGAAGAGAAAAAATATGTATGTACGCAGGAGAGCTTGCACAGTGGTACTGCTGATTTCCACTGGTTTACTGAGAGGAGCAGTCATAATTTTTTTGACCAATTTTGCATGTTTATATCTGGTAATCTGAGCACCTAATATGAAGACAACCACACGCAATATAACAACCATTGTTGAATTCCTATCATTTTGTTTAGTGAAATTTTGTATCATTGCTGTTTGTTTTTTATTATTTTTCATTCTCTTTAAAAAAAAACTTTTAAAAGAGAAAAAACCCACTAAATGTACAACTGGATGACTTTACCAGTGTCCACACCTGCGTATGTGCTCTCTAATGCTATGAATGACATGAGGCAATGTTCAGTTAGTAAGCCAACCTTACATCCTGGGTAAGTCCCACTTAGTCACAATGTCATTATCATTCTTTTTTAATACATGACTTTGCCAAGATTCATTTGCAATGTTCTTTTCTCATAATGCCTGCATCAAGGTTTAACGATTGGGCTTCTGCAAATCTTATAGAATGAAGTTGTAAGAGTTCTCTTTTGGGTTTTCTGAAAGGGTTGTGTAAGATCGCTGTTATTATTTTTTTCATTTTTGATTAAATTCACTTGTGAAGCTATTTGCCAACACCAGTGCTATAAAAATTTTGCCCTGTGTTTTCTTCCAAGAGCTTTGATTGTTTTAGGTCTCTGAGCCATTCTGAGTTAATTTCTGCACATGGGGCGAGGTAATAGTCCAACTTCATCCTTGGACTTGCCAGGGTCCGGTTTTCCTAGCACATTTGTTGAAAAGATCATCATTTACCCCACTGAATGGGCTCAGCGCCCTTGTGAAAATTATTTCATCATCTCTGCAAGAGATTAATTTGGAGCTCTGTATTCTACTCCATTGGTTTAGGAGCCTCTCTTTCTGCCAGTGCCATACTTTTTTGATTACCATAGTTTTGTACTAAGTTTTGAAGTTAGGAAGTATGAGCCGTCTAGCTTTGTTTTTCCTTTTTGAGATTGCTCTGGTCCATATTGATTTTAGGGTGCGCTTTTCTTTTCTTCTTCTTTTTTTTTTTTTTTTTTTTGCTCCGAATGCCTTCAGGGCAGGTCTGGCTGGCTTGAGTTGTGGGGATCGAACCACAGCAACCTGAGCCTGACTGCTTTGTTGAAGCAGCCACTTAAAGAACTGAGCTAAGGGGCAGGCCCCCAAAATGGGCTTTTCTAATGCGAGGTTTGATTCAGGATTGCACTGAATCTATAGATCAATGTTGGGTATCAACATTAATATTTGCCCTTCTAATCCATGGAATGTGTTTTATGTTTTTAAATTTTTCAACGTTCTGTGGTTTTCATTGTACAAGTCTTTCTCTTTTCTTAGTTCATATTTTATTCTTTCGGATGCTATCATAAATCTGTTTTTTAGGTTGTAAATCATTACTGGTGCTTAGAGATGAAAGTGATTTGTGTGTTCTTTGTGTCTGACTTCTTTGCCAAGTTCATTTATTAGTTCTTTGTCTCTCTCTCTCTCTCTCTGGCTCTGTCACTGTCTCTCTTTTTCTTTCTTTCTTTTCTTTCTTTCTTTCTTTCTTTCTTTCTTTCTTTCTTTCTTTCTTTCTTTCTTTCTTTCTTTCGTGTGTGTTCTTTATGGTCTTCTTCATATAGGATCATATCTCCGTGAAAGAGATACCACTGTACTGCATCCTTTTCAGTTTGGATGCCTTGTCCTCTTTCTTGCCTGCTTCCTCTGGCTGGGACTTTCCACTGTGTGGAGCAGAGGTGGTGAAAGTGTGCATTCTATCCCCACCATGACGGTGTTTATTATGCATGATGAAAACATACTACTAAAAAAGGGAGAAAGTGGGTATTCTTGCTCACTTCTGGCCTTAGAGGAAAAGCTTTTAGCCTCTCCCCATGGAGAGGATGCCTGCTATAGATGTTTCCTGTGTTGCAGTAGTTTACCTCAATTCCTAATCTCTTTTCCCTCAATTCCTAATCTCCTCTTTTCCCTCTACTCTTTCCCTGTTTTCTCTGTCTGTCTCACTGTGTTTTCATCTCTTTTTTTTCCCCCCTGCCTCTTCACCTCCTTTCAAAAAGAAATCTCTGGTGTTTTTTGGTTTTGTTTTTGCATTGTTTTAGATACAGTATGATGCAACAGAAAATCCCTGGGTAAACAAGATTTGCATGTCTCTGACCCAGGCGATTTATTTAATCTTTTGGAATCACAGTTCTTTTACATTTAAAACATAGCCAGTAATCAATCAATCAGTTAATCAATCAATCAATCAATCAATCAATCAATGTGTGTGTGCGCGTGCACGCGTGCTGGGGACTGAACTTAGGACCTTCACACTGCTACAGCCTCAATCCTTTTCATTTTTTATTTTGAGACACTAAATGGCTTGGGTTGGGTTACAACTTGCAATCCTCCTGCCTCAGCCTCCCCGAGTACTGGGGTTACAGCCATATGCCACCCTGCCCGACTACATATTGAATTTGTCAAATGCTTTTACTACAGCAGTTGAGATTAGCATATTTTTTCTCTTCCCTCTGTCAATATGGCATAGTATATTGATCAGTTTTCATTTATTGAACCGTGCTTGTGTTCTAAGAATAAATCTCAGCTGATCTTGTAATATGCTGCTGAAT